ATTTACTATTATATCACTTAATTAACTAAGTATATTAACTCTTCATTTACCATCATATTGAGGCTGATATATATGATGTTCATGGTTTAAATTTTCTGGCCTGGAATTCAGCAAGGTCTGACACCAACTAGCCTTATCCTTCTTATTCGTCATCACCTCCCTGTTTTACCCAGTCTGGTAGTGTTTATTTTTGTACTTACAGCACATCTGAATTAGGACTAGCTACATTGTATGTGCTCAGTGGCCACATATGGCTAAATGGATGCTATACTAGGCAGCACAGTCCTAGAATATTTTCATCAGATTCCTCTATCCTTTTCCTCACCCTGTACCTCCTCAATTATATCTCAACTCTCTCTTCTTTAATACAGTTCTAAAACTAAGGTTTTTGATTTTTGGGGAATTGCTGGTTCTTCCTATGCCAATAGAATACCTCTGGCTTTAATAGTCACTTCTTATACCTTATACTCAGGACAATTCAGGACAAGTTGTTTGTGTGTTTGCTTTTTATTTGTGGTAAAATATGATGATACAAAATTTACCATTTTAATCATTTTTAATTATATATTTCATTGCCGTTAAGTACATTCACATTGTTGTGCAAACATCACCATCATCCAACTCCAGAACTTTTTCATCTTCCCCAGCTGAAACTCTGTGCTCATTAAATGTGAAATCCCCATTCTCCCCCAGCCCCTGGCAAATACTGTTCTATTTTCTGCCTCTGTGAACTTGACTACTCTAGGTATCTCACAGAAGTGGAATCACGCAATATTTGGCCCCTGGTAACTGGCTTATTTCACCTAGCACAGTTTCTTCAAGGTTCATTCATGTTGTGGTATTTGTCAGAATTTTGTTTTTAAGGCTGAATAATATTTCATTATATGTATAGGCCTCATTATATTTACCCATTCATGTGTCAATGGACATTTTGGTGCTTCCATCTTTTGGCTAGAGTGAATAATCCTTCTACGGACATGGATGTACAGATAGATGCTGGGGTCCCTGCTTTCATTTATTTTGAGTGGACACCTACAGGTGGAATTGATGGATCCTATGGTACATCCATATTTAATTTTTTGAGGAGTCACCATTTCATTTTCCACAGTGGCTGCACCAATTTACACTGAAGTAGAAATGCATAAGGGTTTCAATTTCTCCACAAACTCTTGTTACTTTCTTTTTTGATTTTTTTATAACAGCCGTACATTTTCTTTTATTACCATTTCCGAATGACTTTAGGAATATTTACTGAAGTTAAGGCCAACTTAAATCTTGATTAACATACAGACGGAAGAATTCAAACACTGATATGTCAGTCATTTTACATTGTTTATTGAATAAATTATGGTATTCCTGATTTTATTCAAAACTCTTAACTAGGACCTTGAAACTCTACACATTCATCCTGGCCCTGCCACTACCCACTATCCGACTTTATGGAAGTGGCTTAATTTCTTTTATATTTAAAAAATGAGGGTGATAATTTCTCACCTACTATATTCACTGGTTTGTTATAATCGTAAAATTTAGTTAATCAATTTAAAATTGCTTGGAATACTCTGAAATGATAGATTTATTCAAGGACTTATCATTGAGGCTGCTATATACATCACAGTGATTTTCGTTTACATTTGCACATGTAATCCACTTCAAAGAACACTTACGCCTTGTTTTCTTCCTCAATTTTGTTTCATTATTTACCATGTACATTCAGAATAGCAGTCATTAAGTGTAATGCAACTATGGATGGTAGTAAGTCAGTTATATTACTGAAGGGAGGTACTTTATTCTTTCTTGCCTTTCTAATTGGATTATGGTCTTTTAATTACATTGTAATTCAGAAATTTGATTGAGACTTATTCCCCTTTATTTGTCAGCTTCTTAAATCAGATGTATTACTGAATCCTAGGTCCTGTAAATAACAATGAAAATTAATGCTCAAGAAATTACATTTCATCTATTGCTTTGACCAAGGTTTTGCTCCCTGTACTTGTATTTGCATGCAATTTCTAGAATAACTTTAGTTTGCATTCTCTGAACATCTTTTTATTTTGGCTAACAGAAGTGTAGAAATTTAAATACCTATTTGATTTATTGAGGAGGAGGGCAGTTTTCATCAGTGAACTGGAAAACCTACCTTTTACTTGTCGTTTTCTAACTGGGACATGAACTAGGTTTTCAAAACCCTTAATTTTATTACTCCATTTAGTGCAAAGATTGGGAAATGAGAAATTGAGTTGTATGAGAAAAAGAGCAAATTGTACCTCCTGCGGTGGCACTGGTGAGTTTGGGTCTTTTTGAAACACTGTCTATTTTCAGATGTCAGTTTGCAATACCTCTCAATAGAAGGATGGCCAGCAGGGTTAAAGTACTGGAGAAGTTATCTGCAGCAGTCATTATAATAGTAACATTGTGTGCTGACACAAATGAAGCATTTTATGTGCAAGTGAGAAAGAAAAAAAAAAGATACAAGTGAATGTTTTGGGTAGAATCTGTGGCATAAGAAAACTAAAAAGGAAATTGCAACTCTAAGAAACTCAGCTTAAAAAATGATAAAAATGGCCGGGCGTGGTGGCTCAAGCCTGTAATCCCAGCACTTTGGGAGGCCGAGACGGGCAGATCACGAGGTCAGGAGATCGAGACCATCCTGGTTAACACGGTGAAACCCCGTCTCTACTAAAAATACAAAAAACTAGTCGGGCGAGGTGGCGGCATCTGTAGTCCCAGCTACTCGGGAGGCTGAGGCAGGAGAATGGTGTGAACCCGGGAGGCGGAGCTTGCAGTGAGCTGAGATCCGGCCACTGCACTCCAGCCTGGGTGACAGAGCGAGACTCCGTCTCAAAAAAAAAAAAAGATAAAAATACACACTTTAATGAAAATTAAAAAATTTATTCTTCAAGTATCCCCAAATGAAGCTTAAGAATTTGCAGGTCAAAATATATTATTTTTTAGAAAGGAGATTTTTGTAAATTCTGTGAGATTCTGATTTAGCAATCTGTAGTGCGGCCTGCAGATGTTTGAGGTTTCAGAGCTGATTAGGTGACAGAGTTGGGAAGACCTATTTTATGGTATCATATGAATAGCGTTCCAGCTGAATCACTTCGTTGCTTCTTGATGTTCCCTGTGCATTGAGCAGTTATATGTAAATGGTTGTATTTTGCACAAATAAAAAACTATGCCTTAATTTTGGAGTTTTTAATTATTTTTATAATAGAAAGAGAGGTAAGAGCCATTGGACTTAGGGAACTTCAAGATTCTGGCAAGATTTTCCATAAGGATCTTCTATTTATTGAAACAAAACAAGAAAAAGAAAGACAAACTTGAATGACTTACTTGTATCATTTGAAAATTATATATCTACTCTCTGAGCTGGTTTCCTATGTATACTCTGTTACTTCAGCCAAAGGCATTTAGTCCTTTGGGGATGCTGGAAGAGCCATCAGTGCAGTAATTGAAATACTTTAAATTCTCATTAAAATATATGTGGCTAATTTGCGTAACAGCCTTAGCACACATATTTTATACATATATTTTCTGCTACTCATAGTGTAGTCTGGGTTTTATCAGCATCAACATCACCTGCGATCTTATTGAAAATGGAGACTCAAGCTCACTACAATCCTTCTGATTCATAATCTGCGTTTTAACAATATTCCTAGGTGATTCGCATGTACAGTAACATTTAAGAAGTTCTATAATTGAATACGTTGGAAGAAATCTGTCTCCTCACCAGTCTCAGGAGACTCTCACTTGTACTCTAAATTCTGTTTTAGTCTAGTTTTGGATTTAGAATACTTTCAGCCAAAACAATTTATTTCTATATTCTCTGAAGATCAGTTATTCAAAATGCTCACAAAGAAATCAGCTCCTTACGTTTCATAAACATTTTTTGGTACTTGCTCTATGCAAGGCATTTAATCTTCACAAACATGCTATTTTTCATTTATGAAAATGTGTCCAACTTAACAAGCCTAGTAGATGGCTGAGTCTGGGTGTGGATCCAGGTCGCGCGGTTCCCAAATCGGTAACCACTGAAAGTTCAAGGGAGGAGGCTCTTTGATGTTGGAAGTAACATTCAAATTATTAAACCTTTGTAATGATGATTCAATAGGTGGAGATACCTGTTTGTTCCTAAGCCGAGGATAAAAGTAACTCCTGATATTTTCATAAGACATATCATATACTCTTATCTAGTCACATTTGTCTATTTCACAACACTATAATAAAGCTGAATTAATGTGTTTTGTAGGTATAACTATAATTTGAAAGCATTGTTCTTCCTAAACAATTATCTAGGAATAGCCGTGATGGCTCACAGATGACTGAACTTTACAGCCAGACAAAACAATAGAGGAGAAAAGAACTGTTTATGTAGATGTGAACGGAAGTCTCATGCTTGCATAATCACATTCCCTATTGATGAATGACTAAAAAGTCACGGACTGTGTTTCTTACTTTGGGTAAATCTAGGGCAGTCGGGGAAATTGCTTCTTCTTTTTTCCTTTTCTTTGTCCTCCCTTATTTTTTTACATAGGATGCCCTGGAAATGACAATACATATTTCGGTTTGATACGGCATCATATTTCCTATGGTAGGGTAAAGATTAGGAACACGTAAATAAATACTTTTTTACCGACCCAAATTAGACTACAGATTAAGGACCAAAAAGTGGAATATTTCCCATGTCTCCTCTGACTCTGGATGAAAATCCTGTTTTCTAGGTTAGGAAACTGTAAAGATTCAAGCCTTGTCTATGAGAGAACAGAAACAACTTAAATGTCTATAGTTCAAGAAAAGTTTAAAAGGTTATGACTAAAAGAACAGGAAGAAAATTATGTGTATCCACTGAATATGTTATCAAGTTAGAACTGTTTTTTATAATGGGAAGAAGAGCTTGTGATGAGAGTGAAGAATATTGTAAAACCAAATTTGAAAAGCTTATTGAAGCAAATGTATGTCCACTATCGTAAGTAATTTTTTGTTATTTTGCCTTTCAGTGTGTATGTACAGAGAACCATCACTACATGAAATTGGAGAAAAACAAGGGCGTTCAAGGAAAAGTTCTGGAACACCAACCATGAATGGAGGCAAAGTTGTGAATCAAGATTCAACATAGCTGAGAACTCTCCCCTGCTTCCCTCTCTCATCCCTTCCCCTTCTCTTCCCTCCCATTTACCCATTTCCTTCCAGTAAATCCACCCAAGGAGAGGAAAATAAAATGACAACGCAAGACCTAGTGGCTAAGATTCTGCACTCAAAATCTTCCTTTGTGTAGGACAAGAAAATTGAACCAAAGCTTGCTTGTTGCAATGTGGTAGAAAATTCACATGCACAAAGTTTAACACACTTAAAAGCAAAGGAAAAAATAAAATCAGAACTCCACAAACATTAAATTAAACTGTATTGTTATGCGTAGAAGGCTAATTGTAATGAAGACATTAATAAAGATGAAATAAAGTTATTACTTTAAAGGAAAGGGTTTTGGAGAACTGAACTCACAAACTGATGTTATATACTAAATAGCTTAAACTCATGATAATGCTGCGATGTGTGGTTTTGCTTGATTTTGTATTTTATTTGGGCATCTGGAATTGACATACCATTACATTCTGTTTGCAGGATTTTTTTGTAACCATGGAATTGAACATTTCCAAATTATAAACTATTCTAATACCTATAACATGTATAGCCAGGAACCATTTATCATCAAGAAAAGAGTAAGAAATTATTTTTGAGATGTAATTTAAGATTGTCTTATGTAAAAGCAAAGTCTTGTATTGAATCGAATAGCCTTAACGAATTTAATTATTTCGTAAAAATAATTTCAAATTATCCTAGAGTATAATATTTTTATCAAAGATATTATTTCAGAAGTTTTTTGTTTTTTGGGTTTTTTTTCAGTAATTTAGGAAAAAAAGTTACTGTTCTAATGCTGAAGTGACTTTTGGGAATTCTTTGCCAGTGCCATGTCTAGGTGGTAAGATATAAGTTACTTGCTGTTGGCATTTGGTCTGACTTTTTTGCTTTGTGGACACCTTTGAGTATAAGTGCATGTTTTAGAAAGCTTTGTATCCTGTCTTGCAACAGGAAAGAAAGAAGAGGGGTTTTACATAAGGAAATAAGTCCTAGGAAATTAGTCAATGCAAATTGCTTTTGCCTTTGTACCTTACCACAGTCTTATATTGTTTTTTAAACTCTGCCATGAAATTTGGAGACATGACTGTGAAATTCCTAACTTACTATCTTATGAAGCCAGTAGCTAATTTGTTGCTATACACACACACACACACGCACACGCACACATATATCCTCATTTACAAGTCCAGTTTGCAATTCGTTTGTTTCCTAGAACACAGAAAGGTACCAGTAATACACTAAATTTTCAAGGGGTGTAGAGAAATAATATGGAATTAGCAGCTATGACTCCAACAGACAGGATTGTGTGAGCAGCTTAAAGTAGCAAAAAAGAACTCAGTGTAAGAGAAGGCACATACATAGTTAAGAATACTAAAGTATTTTTAAAAATCAAGGAAGCAATAAATGTTCTATAATTTGCATTGGAATAAATAGATCTATTTAGTCCTACAAATCAGGAGTGGTGTAGAGACATCCAAATTTAAAGAAAAAAACCACACAAAACAGAATGTTAAAAAATGTATGCAGATTTATGGATATTACCAATGAGAAGACATAGCATGTAACTTCTCCTATATCTCTACTGTCCGGCATGTATTGTTCCAAATACGACTCCCTACATATATACACTTTGCAGAAGCTCTAGGCCCTCACCTCAAACCTTGCCATTGGTTGCCGTATTTCAAGGTCAACATAGTTTCCCTCACTTTACACAATCATTATTCTTCAATAGTGGATCATATCCTTCACCAAGTATCCTATTTATGTTATCTAGAGGTTAGCAGAAAATGAAATGAAGGAATTTACCTAAGCAGTTGGGAAGAACAAATGTTATGCATCTAGGCAAAGATTTTGAAGATACATTTGTAAGGGATATTTGTTTAACCAAAATATTTGGAAAGTAACAAAGAAAGACATTTAAATTTTCTAAAAATAGACTTGCTCTTCGAGGAAAAGAATACCCTTGGGGGAAAAAATATAACTCTAGCTGTATTTCTTCTTGTCACTCTTGATTCAACTTGATTATAAATACACCTGTCACTACCAGAACCAAAAAAAAAGAAAAAAGAAAAAATCCCAAGCACAAAGTTTATTTTATTTGAAAAAAATTAAAAAGAAACCTCAACACTATGGGACACTGGCTCTCTTAGCATGAAATGACTTGAGCTTTTGTGGTGATACACACAGATACACATTCATCAGTGAAACAATTGATGGTTTCACAAATAATACAATTGATGAAATTCATAAAAAATCAATCACAATGGTGATTTCATGACAAAATATATTTAAGTTGGTTATGAAAAAAATAGAGATATGAATCACTAGCAAAATTCCTCCCTCTGTTTTCAGTGGCTATTCATCATTTATCATCTAGACTCACATTTATCTCCTTCCTGATAGCAGTTAAGAAAGAATTCTAACCACCCAATTTGTATATTGTTTTTTTCTGTATTATGTTAAGCAAATGTTCACTGCAGTAAAATGTTTTGGAAATTAGCTTTGTCTTATTTCCAGTTTAGTTCAGAGAATTAATTGGAAACCTTGTTTCTTTTATACATAAACCTGACCAAAAAATGTAGCTTAGAGCAAAGGGTGAATGTTAGCTTAACTGCTGCTTATGTCTTAAGTACATAAAACCTTTAATAGAATAAGCCAGTAGTCACTGAGTTTTTAAAAATATTACCATGTATAAACATATAATATCCAACTTCATCCAAAAATATGATTGAGTTTAAGTACTTTGTTTTTCAGGCATATTTCAAGTATAATACTTCTTTGATTTTCATTGTTCTGATTTCTGGGTCTTCATTCATCACCTATTCCTTTTTAAGTAAAATAAGTTTTATTTTTTGAGTTGCATTGGGATTTTTCCCAGGAAAAATATGACTTTTAGTAATGCTTTGCAATTGGCTGTGCAGATATAAATTAAGATATGTTTATCCTGAGTTCTTATTGGAATACGTTTCAAAATCAACGAGCTTAAGAATGAAAACAAAACTTTTGAGCGTCTCACAAAATAGCTTTCTGGTCAATATACCTTACTTGATTTGTAAGCTCGGAGAATAAAGTATAGAAACAAATGGAGCTGAAGTTCCATTTGCTAATTCAGAGACTTTTGTGCTTCTGCAAATTGGAGGGCAGCAAGCCATCCTATTCTCATAATAATAGTTTTGGCTTTGAAATTTACATACAAATTTAATAGCATATTTTTAGCCATTATGGATTGGTGCAATAAAGAGATATCAATGTAATGCAATGTGATGCTTTATGGGCCTCATTCTAATTCAGAAAGCTGGTTTAAAAGAACTAAGACTCTTCTGTTTAATAAAATAACAACAATCTAATATCTAGATTGGTGGTCCTGCAGTGTCACCAGTGGGAGATGAGAGTATTAAGACAGGAGTAAGGACAAGGAAAGACTTAAAGGTTGCATACTGAAAAGTTTGGAATTCCTAATTTGGGAGCATTGATTTCTTGGTGAAGAAGTAAGTATGACTACATTGCCAGTAATTTTTTTAAAACATAGACCCAGAAATAGCAAATCTATTTCACCCTCATACCTTAGTCTACAAGGCCTTGCTCTTGAGAAGGTTTTCCATGATATTGCTTAATTTCATCTGCACAAGATGAGACGCAAACATAAAAATTCCCTGCTCATTTTAATACCATGAAAGGCTGAGGTTATTTCTCTGTCATAAAATTGTAAATAGCATTTTTTAAGTCAAAATTACATTTAAAACAGTGGATTGTTCTACAAATATATATGTGTATATATACATATGCTTCTGAAATAAGGATATATTATATAGAGTTTTTATTTGATTTGTGGTCTCTAGTCATACATAGTCAAAAATAAAGAGATTTGAATGCAAAACTTTATACATTAATGTATATTTCTAATGATAGTACAAATTGCCACTTTATAATAAAAAAGAAACAGGTGGGAATAATAATCAAAGCACACGTTCCTTCGGTACTTTAGTGATTTTTAATCCCCCTTGTGATGCGCAGGAAATTATTTTTTAGTTACAAAAAGTTATCTTAAAAAGCTATACTTCCCAATACAGATTTCATGATAAGTCCTATCAAATTGAGAATCTGTGGTGAAAGCTTAGGAAAAGGATGCTAGATGCTGATCTTTATTTTTCAGGATTTTTCCTGGAGCCCAAGTTAAAAATTCAATATTTAAATCTAAGTTAAGTGAAAATTAATAATGTTCGGAAATGATATATTGAGCTTTAGTAACAGATGGAAGCAAAAATAAGAATATTTAACGTTATGATAATAGCCTTAAAATAATGTAATAAAAATTGCATCATTAAATGTTCTATTAGTTGGAAAGAATGAGCTGATGTTTCTTTGTCTTTGCTCCAAGTACAATTTGAAGACAATGCCATTCATTTTACTCAAAATTGTTCAAAAAGTCCAGAACATACTCCCATGGCTAGAATTGGTATTAGCTCCAATACAAGGTTAAATGTTACAATCTTAAAAAATTATTGACACTGAAATGTTTAGTAAACATGTTGTATGAGAAACTAAACAAATTAATGTTTCATTTTTCCATTAAAGCACAGATTATTCAAATCATTGTTTTCTGAGCTGAGATTTGTAAAATGTTTATACATCACTACCCTCCTGGAATTAAAAACAATTAAATCCTGAGATGCTCATGCACATAGACAAAATATTGGCACTTTTTTTTTAAACATTAAACTTCTTTGAGAAGTCTACCAATTTTTTTTAGTGTGTTTATCCTATATTGCTGAAAAAGTGCTGTTTCTTCTTAAGAAAAAGATCACAAATTGATTTACTGATGGGAAAGATGTCCAATTTTGTTGAAGAGTCGAAAGAAAAGTAAATGTTTCTTTGGAATTATTTAGCTACTTGTCTCAACCTGACATCTTGCTTTCAAGGATTAAGAACTAAAGTACGTTCATTTATTCTTTTGTTCATAACATACCAACTAGAGGCTCAGTTGAGTTTAGGCATCATAAACTAAACTGCAATCTCAAAAACAACAACAATAACAAAGGCAGACACATAAATAAACAAATAATGCAATACCTGAAAGTATGTGCTATGATAGATGCCAAAAAGATTTTCTATGCCACTGAGGAGCCAACAAAGGCATCATCAGGGATTGAAAAAGAACAGATATTTGCTGAGTGATAAAAGGGAGACGACAAAGCCCTCTCAAGAAGAGAAAATCATTTGAAGGAAAGATATAGATACTTGCAAAGCAGGGCTTAGTTGAGAAGAATGTTCAGAAAAGGAGGTGGAAGAAAAACTGAGTTGAGATCAATAAAAATGAAAAGTTACTCAAAGGTTTTCAGTACAGCCTTTGTATTTGAACATCTGTATCTGCTAGGATGCTTCTGGTTGCTCAGAAAGAATCCCCAAACCAAACTGGCACTTCATCTCGAATATCTAGGTACACAGCATCACCATCAAGGCTTAATTTGTCTGTAGTTCTCTCAGCTCTGTCCACCTCCATGTATAACTTCCCTCTTGGAGGCAGAAGTTCCTTTAGAAGTTTCAGAACCTGCATGTGTATATAATCTATTCTCTATTCGAATCCCCCAGACAACATCTTACATTTCATATAGCCTGATTTAGATCATGTGTCCACACTTTAGTGACTGACCATGGCCAGAAATTTGAGATATGTTGACTAGTTTAAGTCAACCAAGACGTGGAGGTTGGATTGTCCCCAAAGATCCAAGTCTGCATGGTTGAGGGGTAAATATTTGAATGAAATTCAGAGCCCTTTTATTAAGAGGAAATGGAAATGAAGAGCAAAAAGTGGCAAATCTCTACTACTAATGAATAGATGTATTTTCTATCACAAGTCATTGGATATTCTAAAAATCAGCAGAGAAATGCAAATATTGGTTAATTAAAGCTACTGCCATAAACCATAAGAACAAACAAAAGCATTGACAATTCAATTTCCTAAGCATTATTAAGTGACTGCTATGAAGAAGGCACTGTGCAGGTCACTGATGAAGAGAAAAACAGCTGCAATTTTAAAGAAAAGTGGTACATTTGACAATAACTCAGTATATCTGATATGTTCAGTGCTTTTAGATGACTCTCATGGAGGGGGTTAGAAAATGCAGTTTGCTTATTCTAGATCAGAAGTTCATATCATATCTACTTTTATTCATACCCATAGAAGCACTGCTAGGATTAGGCCATTAGAAAATGCTGCACTTCAAAATCACCTGCAACAACCGTGCTTGTCTTTCTTGAATCTCCTCTACAGAACATAGCACATGTTTTGAACACTTTGGATGGCACGAAGTGTATTAACAATCCAAACCACCGTATTCCATTTGTGGAAAGTATTGGTTTTATATTTATATTGGCATCAAAACCTTGGGTTACCATCTTTCAAAAAAAAGTCTTGATTTTCCACTGACTTTCAGGTTTGTTTTTTCGAGAGGATCGAATACATTTTATTTAAAAGTAATGTGCATCTTCTGAGCTCATATTTTCACAATTGTTTTTCTTACGAGTATAAAATAATATTGCTGTTGTCATATTATTTTTCTAATTCTTTTTGACAACCTTATCTGAAAGACAGCATATCTTAATTTCTGTGCTATGTCTCTTATATATGATACCTACTTGTATATTAACCCTGCCTACCCGTTGCAACTTGCTGTCTTGAAAAATATGTTCCTGATCCAGAGAGGCACACAGAGACATACACAAGAAGAACATTGCAGGAAGAGGTATTTAATATGTGAATTGCATATCAGTCATGCTGTGACTTGTCTGTAATGTCATTTTCCTTGCCTGTTTCATCTTTTTGTTTCTTATATGCATTTTCAGTTGTACCACTGCTTCATTGACCGACTTAACTCTCTGAACTTGTTTATGATATTCTCCCTAGTGTTTTGAGTAATTATTTTCTATGCTGACAGCTTCACCTCATAAACATACCCTCATAATAGACCTAATTGGTACTTTACCTTTACAACCAAGAAAATAGTGGCTAAATTAAATTGGAAGGTTGTGGGTTTGTTTGCTTTTTTTTTCTGTAATGATAAACCTGAATACAGGCATTCCATATGTTATTTGTACCATTAGAAGACATCAGGAACAAAGTCTCTGCAATTCAATGTACTTTTTCTTCAAAGTACCATTTATTCACAGTCCAAAATGGCTGCTCTAGTTGTAGGTGTCACGTTCAAATTTAGGACACAGGGAAAAGGAAAACAGGGAGGTAGAAAGATGTGGTACATGTACCATGGAAGCATCTTTTCTAGAAACCCCCAGCATAAGTCTCACGGGCCAGAACTGGAGGTTCATGGGTAATGAAGAAAAAGGAATTGAAATTGGGTGAGGAATTAGACACCTCTATCACAAAATGTGGACTGCCCTTGAGGTTTGTACTGGGCATATTCACAGCCTCTTCCATTGTCTAGTACATCCTCTTGCTGACAGTACTAAAACCAACAGGTTATATGGTCTAGGTTAATGATGTTGTTGTGCTCCAGGATACTTGTTTCTCCGGCAAGCTGAGCCGCTGTCATTTCTGATCTCCTGTACAACAAGGAAAGTAACTAACCTACATGCTGTTTGGGTGTTCCCTATAAGAAATCAATGAGAGGCACAAAGGATGTATGAGGAGATGAGTTCTTTCTCTCAACACTATCGATTAGAATAGCAATATTCTCTAAATCGTGTACCAAGAAATCTTGGTCAGATCACCCTAGAATGATAGAGCATAGATGCTATTACTTTACCATATCTAGTTCACTAGGAGAATGATCATCACAGCACCCCACTTTGGGGTTCTCACTGAATTATGAAACTTGCCCACACTACTAGCAGATGACCTGTGCTGGGACATCTCAGCCCAAATGTGAACTAATCATGGAATTATGGACAAGAGTGACATGAATCTGCTTTACTAACTCACTCTCCATCTTAAATGCTAGAGTTATTTTTGACCTATCTCAAAACAAGTGACTGTGACCTGTTAGAATATGGCCAGCATAATTGTCCATAGACTTGCAGATGGCCACCCACTTCTCGGATACAGAGTATATAGTTATCTGGAACTTGGTTTTGGAAGCAGGAATTGGAGGGATTAACTCTCTCTACTTCCTCACTGTTTCCCCCATCCAAAACCCAGTACATCATTGCCTCTATAGTTAGGGCCTAGACTCTGGTCAAGTGTATGTATCCTTCTTCCAGATGGAGAAGTCTAAGAGGCATATCATCAAGAATGCATAAGATGATTTCATTTTCTTGATTTCGTTTCTTCAAGGAAACAAAAGTAATTGATTATTTCAGTATCTATGTAGTTATCATACATTGTTACTATTTAGATTTCATTACTATTCTTGTTTAGGATATAGTCATTGGTTTGTAACCTCAACTGCATATTAGAATTACCTGATAACTTCTAAAAAATATACTGAGGCTTAGGCCCCACCCCTAGAAATCCTGATGAAATCGGTTTGGAGTAAATACAGGTGATTCTTTCCTGCAGATTTGAGAATCACTCCACTGAATGAACCCTTAATAAACCATAGTTAACATTTATTAAGTGCCTAGTCAAGGCTGGTTGGAGTTGACTTTCCAGAGAAATTTTAAGTTGTAAACGTGCGTAAGAGTTATGAGGAGAAGACTCTCTTATGACAAGGTTTAGGCAATTTGAATAGCAGGTGATACTAGATGCCAAGCTTCTGCAATGTTCCTGCCATATTTCAGCATCATGCCTAATCTCCTAGAGGTATCGCAGTGATATATTTAAAGATTTCTTGATATGGAGCTTGGCCTTATATTAAGCTGTTGCCTGAATATTCAGAGTTGATTCAAGGACAACTTCTTCTGTGTGAATCCAGAGAAATACTTGTTTAAGCAATCGCATTATGTGAGTGCTTACTTCATGAACAAAATATTTGGATCTGAATTAGGTTAATAAATGTGGTTGCTGTCTTGACATAGAGCCCCCAAATTATTAAGAGCATGTATTTAAAATCTGGAGCTTTACAAAAAAAAAAAAGTGATATTTTTTGCTTCTGCTGTAATGGTTCACAATGCTACTTTATTTAGTAGTGTGAACATGTTAAGATAGACTTCTCTGTTACTTGGAAAGGAGTTCACTTTCCCCTGACAATACAGTCCTGGCTATGAACGTCTCTTAGCTCATGAGTAATCAGATTTATTCTCTTGCATCAGAGCACCCATTCTCAGGACAAAATTAAGTTACAATAGCTTTTTTCAAACTTTTACTCAGAGCACACTGTCTCCTGCAACCAAAACTGTGACACTTGTATTTTATTTTTTTTCTTTGCCCAGCTCCACACTCTAAAAACCAAGAGGTAACATATGACTCTACCTAAATTACATGTACAGTGACCGAACCCATCATAAGGAAGAAAACAGAAATCTGTGTCTCCTCCAGAAAGCTAGAAAGCTGTGTAATTCAATAGTGTGTGTTTCTGTATTTTACTACTTAAGTCCATGTACCCTGTATTTCTCTAGTCCTTGCCCTTATTCTTTCCAGAAGACACACAACTTGTCTCATAAAATTCCTTGATTTGCTCCAAAAATAAGGGAGGGAA